TTGTTGTTTTTGTTTCGTTCCTGGTTCTTAGCGGAACAACGATCCAGCGGATGTTGCCCCCCAAGGCAGCTCGGCCCTGGTGGGTGATCAAACGAATTCCACCTTATGATCAACAAATCCCCAGTGGACGCGTGCTAAACAAACAAAGCTTTCCCTGCTCGGCTGAATCGCGGGGGAGGCGCCCGCCAAATTGAAACACGCGGCGGCGGCGCCGACGTCCGGCCGCCAGCGAGAAGGCGACAAAAACGGCACAGACTGGGAGGGGGGGGGCGGACGGGAGGCAAGATCGGCAAAAGCAGCGACCGTGAACCAAGGCGGCACCTGCTCGAAATGGAAGCTGTTGTCGGCGTCCGCTCCCGCACTTTCCGTGTTGATTTCTGTCGAAACGACGCGCTTCTTCTGCCCTGGCCACAAGCAAGGGAGCGCCAGCTACCTCGCGGGCATGCGAGCAAGGCGGGCTGGACGAAAGGGGAGCGAGGCCAAGCGGGGATTTGCCAAGCAGCTCACATTCCTGATTTTCCGAACGCCTCCTGGCGCCGAATGCGGCCATGCATCGAAGACTGGCCCCTCGGCGGGGTGACCGAAACCAGCTGCGCGCACGCCAGGGCTCGTCTCTGAGCCCTGGCGCGCGTGATTAAAAAGACAGTTTCGCGCCCCGCGGGGTCTATTCATCAGCCCCGGTGGGGGGGGCGATCGTTTGTTAATCACAAGCCGACATTAAGAGCCAGGCAACTCCTAGAGCAGCCCCTCCAGGAGATGCAGGCTGGTGGGACAATTGAACAGAATGCAGGGCGACAGGCAGACCGACGGAGGAGAGAAAAAAGAAGACAGGAGCAATAGTGAATAACCTCAAGAGGGAGAGAGAAGAGAGAGACAGGGAGAGAGAGAGAGAGAGAGAGAAAAGAAAAAAAAAAAAAAAAAAATGGTGCGGAGGCGGCGACGCGGCGAAACGGGCACGGTTGGCAGCGCAGTTGGCACGTTGCAGATCGGCATGGCTGGGGCCACGCTCGCCAAGGGTCGAGCGGCGCAAAGGCACCTCCCATCCCATCCTCCATCGGGGATCCCCAGGGGGACAATCCCCAGACGCTGCCGTGGAGCCTTCGCCCGCCGAAGCAGGCCGCGGGCCCCCACCGGCACGGCTGGGGGCCACCCGGAGATCCCCGCCGGAAGATCAAGGGCCCCCGCCCTCCTGCGGCGGTGGCCCTGCGCACACGCGGCTGTTCCCCCCGAGCACGCACGCCCCAAAGCTAGCCCCCCCCCCAGCCCACGAGCTAGCTTTGTCGCTGGCTGCGCTGTGGGAAGGGGGCGGGCTGAAAGGATCGATGGCGAGGGCGCTGCACCGGCACTCCCTCTACGTTCGGTTGGGAGACATGGTCGATTACAGCACCGCGGCTTCAATCGCCCCGGCGACCGCCAGGGCGGCGCGCGATTGCTGCATGTCTCAGCGACGTTCAAACAACACCCGCGGCCATCATCGTCGCTGCGATAGGCAACAGCGCAGCGGGCTGAGTGGCCTGATGCGCGGCCACGGTTGCTGTAGGCCGCAGGCGCCCAGGCCTCGGCCACGGCGGCCGGCGGACAGCCCCCCCCAGCCACGCCCCGCGCAGGCAAACCCTACTCAACCCACGGTTTAACATTGAAATTGGCCGCGCCGCGGGCTGGAGCCGGGTCGGAACGAACGATGGCGGGAGCGCTGAACTGGCGCGCCCACGGAGTTATGCTGGGCGGCGGGCCGTTTTGCAGCAATGTCGCTGGAATCAGCCAGGTGCACTAGCAGGGCAGTAAGCGATTGTTACAGGGCTCACCGCCATTCAAGCAATAAACAGCGACCAAGCTCGCCGTTGTCATCGGCGGCACTCGAGCCCCGGGAACCCCGATGAAGCCCCTCAAAACTTCTGAAAATAAGTCCGAGGGTTTAGGGGGAGACTGACCTGGCTTCCTCACTGCTTCTTGGACCTCTGACGGCATCTCCCGCATCCAGGGCCTCTCGGAGGTGATGATCACCTCCCGGGTGTCGACCGAGCCCCTCTTCACCTGGACGAGCTGCCTCCGCCGCTGCCCGCCGACGCTGCCGACTGGAGGTTCGCCATGATCATGCCAGCCAGGAACTGCAGGTCGGTCTCGGTGATCGTCGGAGGAGGCACGCTCTGCCTCACCGCGCGCTCCTCGGCCACGTGCCCGTCGATGAGCTCCTCGCCCTGACGACATCCTGCCCCTGGGTGCCCACGCAGTACTTCATGTCGCAGAGGGCCGTCTGCATCTCGGCGATGCTCATAGCCCGCGTGGGCTCGCGCTTCGGCGGCGGCCCGCCCGCGTAGCCCCTCGAGTGGGGCGGCGGAGGAGACTTGCACTTCACGTAGCCCCCCCCCCCTCCAGGACGCACAGGTTGCGCGGCGCCGGCGCGGCCCCCGCGGACGAGATCACAGCCCCCGACGCGTCCTTCGAGACCACTCGACGACCAAGAGCCGGCTGTCCAATAAGACTCCAGGAATCCGGAGGAAGGACCTGGCCGCCGCCCCCGACGTAGTTCTTCATCATCTCGTCTGCCCTGGCCTTCTCCTGTTGGCGATGTGGTTTGCCAGCTCCCTCGTCCGCCCCCCCCCCTCGGCCTCGAAAATCTCTTCCGCCGTCTTGTCCCTCGGCGAAAGCCGAAGGCCGCATGCCTTGCAGCGCTCGCAGACGCTCCTCGGGTTCGACCTCTTTCGAACGCACCGGGGCGGGCGCGGACAGCCCCCCTGAGAGTAAACCTCCGAGAACGAATCCGGCATCGACTTCATCGGGTAGCGCATCTGCAGGAGCACGAAGTCCAGCCTGACCAACTCGAGAAAGAATATGCGCCACTGGTGGAGCGGCCTCGTCAGACGAAGCGCTCCGCCAGGAAAGAACCCTTCTCCTGTGACGTCACCGCCTCGCCCCCCAGCGTCTCGACGACCGACTCGGACAACTCCTCCCGACCATTCTCTTCCTCCTCCATGTCGGTCTCGCTCTCGCGGATGGTCCGCAAAGACCTGCCCCCCCTCTGCTCCGGGGTGGCCTTGCGGGCGCCCTTCGACCCCGCTGCCCTCGTCCGCCAGCTGAAACCTCACTCTGCTGGTTCCTGGTGGCCTCTCTGAGCCCAACTGTCCACGGATCCGCCGTCGGCCCCCCCTGGAGACACTCGGAGCCCAGGACCCAGAGAGCCTCAGAGGACCTCAGAATCGAAGCGAGGGGGGCGGAGGAAGACTGACCTACGCTGAAGACAGCTTCGACAGCAAAGCTCCTCGAAACTGCAGTCGAAGCACTCCGCCAGCACTGCGGTCTTCACGGCGTCGGACACCTGGAAGTGCTCTGCGGCCGAGTGGACCAACGAACCAGACCTGTGACCAAAGGGGTGCCTGAACAGCATCCGGCTGACACACATACCGGAATCATCGACTACCATGTCGTTCTCTGCAAATTGATGCTGGCCCCAATCATCTCCAGAAACTTCGCCGGGAGCAGTGGGGGGCAGCGTCCCTCAATAATCAGAAACTCTATGAACCCGCATCCTGTCAACGCGCACGGCACCCACGCCCTGTCTATCGGATGAGCCCCCCGCCGATCCCCGACGCGGCCAGACCGACGATCGGGAACCAATCTGCATGTACATGATAGCCTCTGTCGCGAAAAGCTGTCCGAAGATGGACGAGATCAACTTTGCCCATCAGTGCCTGCCACGCCGCGGCGTCGACCAATCCGTGGTCTTGCATGTCCTTGAGACTCAAAGAGGGCCTCTCCTTCTCGCGGCGAATCAGACCGACCCACTGACCCAAAGAGTAGCACAACTTAATCTCCAGGAACTCAGTCTCATCAACCTTCATGTCAAGCAGAATAGACGGATCATCACCGTCGCTCACGAACGTGTAAGTGGCCTAGAGCGTCGAATAGCCCTTCGTGGCGGCCGAACTCTCGCGCCCCTCGGCAAGTCCATCTGACTTGGACTTGCACGGCTCGCGACAATTACCCGCCAGATGCCCGCGATCTCCACTTAGCACATCCCGTTTTCTTTTTCTCCTGTGCCGAGGTCATTCTGCGATAGCCAGACCGGGACGTCCTCCTTCTCTCCAAAAAGTCGCGGTCGACACGCCTAGCAGCCTTCTGCTGCCGAGTCTCTGCCCACGTCCTCCTCGTCTCCCTGCCGGCCTTCTCCTCGATGATAGCGGTCAGGACCAGCATCAGGTCATTCTCGGCCATGTCCTGCTCGTCGAGAGCCTCCAGAAATAACGCATCGCCCTGTTCCAGCAGCTCGAAGGAGTCGTCGGGGTCGGCGTAGAAGGAAGTACGAGGATCTGGTGGCTCTGGACCTCCCGCAGCAACGTTCTCAAGGGTATGGCCATCGTTCTTCTCATTCGGGTAGCTCGTGGAAGTCGCCTGGCCAGGCGCTGCGCCGGCTCCCGGAAGCACGCCGCGCTCCCGAGCGTCGAGCAGCAGAAGGCCTTGACGGATCGAAGCACAATCTCGCTTCCCACTCACTGGAGTTATCAGGTTGATCTTGTTCTGAGGCGTCAGATTGGCACCTACCTCGAGATATCCTGCCTTGATTGCGTGTGGCAGCTGGAGTCCGTAGGTCTCCGCCTCACTCACCTGGGCATCCCTTCGCAACACATAGTCGGTAAGAGCTTCGCCTCTCCGAATCGCGCAGTCGAAGAATGTCATGTTTTGTGCATCACGCTCCTCGTCTCCCAGACGCTCCCCGTTGACAACCGACAAGTGGTCGAGCATCTGCTGAATACCGTTGTCGTCATCAAGAGAACTCCAGACCATCCGAAACTTCAATTGAACATCTGCTGGAAGCGTTTCTAGAATCTTGCACACCCTTGACATAGCCTGTCAACGAAGACCACGCCTTCAAGCTAGAACGAAATAGATCCAGATGCTCGAACCCAAGCCAAACTGGGGGCGCTCCGAAGTCCCTGTTCACCGTGGCCTTTCGATTACCCCAGGACCACCAGGCCACCCTTGCTGGTCCGTCCAAGCGGCCACCGCGGGAATGGAATACCAGTCGGCGTCCTGCCAGGCTCGGCCATCCCACCCGTCCCAGTCCCAGCCTCGCCACTCCCGGCCCGGCGTCTCGTTGGGCTCTGCTGTCTGGTGGGAGCGGTCCTCCTGGGCTCGTTGCAGCGGTCGCGCTTCTAGTTCCAAAAATCCTCTGCTCCAGCTCTTCTCGTGTTCTCGGAGGGCACCAACTACACACCTACACCGATCCTGGCCCAGGATCACCCTGGGCCCAGGATCGGTGTATACGCCCTCCTGCCTTGCGCAAGAAGGCATATACACCGATCCTGGGCCCAGGGTGATCCTGGGCCAGGATCGGTGTTGGTGTATAGTTGGTGCCCTCCGAAAGGAGTCAAGAAAGGGCGAGCCGGTATCCTTTATCCTCCTGACACCATCAGGTCTCGAAGCCAAAGGCTGCGGGGCAAGTGCACACGGGCTGAGGCACGAAGCGGGAGAACTGGGAAGGGGAGCAGAAGGGAGAGAAGATCCCTGGAGGTCCCCGGGATCCTTGGGACGAGGGTCGTAAGGGCAAAGTGGGACAGGCAGTGCTGCTTGTCAGCTGTTGAGGTGGCGTCAGGTTGGGACCAGTGTTCATGGTCGTGGCAGCGCCGATGAACGGCTTGGCCGAGTAGTCCAGGTCATCGTCCCGAAATCGGCAACGTCTCCGCTGTCGTCGTGGTTCGCATCGATGTCGGCTATCAACGGCGGGCGCTCCGTGTCGTCGATGTCGTTGCCCGTTGTCTGGATGCTGCCGTCGGCGATCATGATGCGGGTTGGTGCCGGCATCCGCTGCGCAGCGTCAGCGGCAGCGACCAGCCTTGGGCGCTTCCCCCCGACCAGGCGTCGGGGCGAGAAGTGGAACAGGTCCCTGCTGATGGCGTCGGCGGCGCGGGGCATGTCTCGCTCCTGCGACGCTGAGGCTCAGGGTGCTGAGCCCTTGTGCGCGGGCTCTGTGGGGCTGTCGTTGTGTGCCCCTGGGCTCGGTTCTCCAAGCGCGCGGTGGTTGCCCGGCGCATCTCCATGATCTGGTGGCCCCACACAATCGCCCCCGCCGCGGGTCGCAGGCAGCCCAGCGATGTTGCCAGGTGGGGCGGCCCCGGGGGCCTCGGCCAGCTCGCCGATCTTGTCGATAGCCTCGTTGGCGACGCCCCCCTGGCAGAACGAGATCGCGAATGCAGCCGGCTCTGAAGTAGGGTTGTAGCGTCTCCCCAGCTTGATGTACATGGGGAGATCGCACCGTTCGGCTGATGCTGGCGTCGGTAGGTCGGCGCGGTCGTCAGTCATCGGGTAGGCGACCATCGTGGCCAGCTGGTGATGAAGTGAACGAGGACGGTCGGCTTGTGGATCATCGTGAATAATCGCGCTGCTGGGAGTGCATCGCGGCGAATGAAGTAGTTGAGGGAGGCCGCGGCGTAGGTCATTAGGACGTCGCATTCACACCTCAGTGTGTTGTTGGGGCCCGTGCCCCAGTCGTAGGTAGTCTCGGGGTCACCGATGTCTCCGATGGCCTCAGAAACCAGCCTGCGGACGTGCATCCTGAAAAGGTGGATCATGCCGACAGTAATACCAGAACGGAGTAACAAGGTTGGCCATTCGAGGTTCATGCGCTCACCGCCCCCCGCCTCCAAAGTTTACACTGCGGCGGTTCTGCTCCTCATCTCCCATCCTCCTCCCTCGCATCCACATCCTACTGCTGACTCCTGGAGCTCTCATTGAGCACCCCAGGTACTACGGGATACCCAAAAAGGGGCCTCCGAGGGGCCCTAGGAGAGAACTCAACACTGCGGAAATGGCCACAATAACTCACCAACGTCCTGCCGCCCCTGCCCTCCCTGCTCCACCCAGGCATCAACTCGCTCTTCGTCGTCGTCGTGCGCTTTACCCCACTCGGGCAACCTGCCCTGCCAGACTGCATTCGGCCCGTCTACCGCTTCTGGGGTCGGCGCAATGGCATGGGTCGCTCGAACGAGTTCTCATGGCAAGATCACCCTGCCCAGGTCCACCCGCTCCTTCCTGGTCCTCAAGTCGCTACATATACTTCTCCTCCCCCAGCATCCCCCCCTCCCTCCACCAATCCTTCTCTTCCCCCTATCATCATACGTCTCCTCCATCTCCACCGTCTCTTCATGGAACCCCCCTTCTCGGTCTCCTCCCCACCCACACACAGTCATACTTCCCCTCCTCCTCCTCGGCCTCGTCCTCGTCCTCCTGTTCCCCTCCTCCTCATCCTCATCCTCATCCTCATCCTCATCCTCATCCTCATCCTCATCATCATCATCATCATCATCATCATCATCATCATCATCATCATCATCATCATCAACATCATCATCATCATCAACAACCACAACAACAACAACATCATCATCATCATCATCATCATCATCATCATCATCATCATCATCATCATCATCATCATCATCATCATCATCATCATCATCATCAGCATCATCATACTAATCGGCATCACCCCCTTCTTCATCATCATCATTAGCAGCAGCAGCATCATCATCATCATCGACACCACCACCACCAGGATCATCAACTTGATCATCATCGTACTCATCATCATCATCATATCATCATCATCAGCATCATCATCATCATCGTCATCATCATCATCAGAAGCAGCAGCATCATCATCATAATCATCAGCATCAGCAGCATCAGCATCAGCATCAGCACCATCATCATCATCAGCAGCAGCATCATCAGCGTCATCATGATCATCGTCATAATCAGAATCATCAGCAGCATCATCATCAGCATCATCATCATAATCATCGTCATCACCGTCATCGTTATAACCATCACCACCTTCACCAGCCTGAAGCCAACGCCAGACTGTAGCACCCCGCAGGCGCCAACCGCGTCACGTGCGGCAACCCGAAAGGAAGCGCTCTGCGACGGGCCTTCAAGTTATTCTTGGCCCTGACATCGATGATAATCATCACCACCACCATCGGCTACACGCCGAAGTGACCCTAGGCGAGAGTGACCTCTGGTGCGCGGCCTTGGGGGGTGAGGGGGGGGAGGCAAGCCCGAGCGCGAAAGCCATCTGGGGACCCCCGTGTGCCCGCACCAAAGGTCGCTCTGGCGAAAAGTCACTCTTACGCGAGGCCGACACCACTCGTCCTCGCCCTGGACCTCCTCCCTGGGCCGCGGTGGGCCTTGCGGCAGGATAGGTCGCCGCACCGGAAGAATAGCGTGGCGATGTAGCGCTCGCCCCCCTGTATCTGGCGGGCGCAAGGCGGGGTGAGCAGGAGGAGAAACAGCGGGGGCAGTCTCGTCAGCGTCCTCCTCCTCCTCCTCCTCCTCCTCCTCCTCCTCCTCCTCCTCCTCCTCCCTCCTCCGTCTTACTCACCCTCCTCATCCTCCTCCCTCCTCCGCCTTTCTCCTCCTCCTTCTCCTTCTCCAAACCATACATATCAGACTCTTGCCTCATACTCCTGCTCCCCCTCCCCCATCTCACTCCGCATCCATGCTGCAGCTCAACCTAATATGATTCCTCCTCCTCCAACGAACACGGCAACCAGAAAGAGGTATCTACATTTATCCGCCACCGCGCTTGCAGCGGTAGGTGTATGTGTGTGTCGGGTTCTTTCGTCTCTTGCGAAGCAGTAGGGCCCACCGACGCATCGAGCCCAAGATGCGCTCATTTTTGTGGCCATGTCCCTGCAATTTTCGCCTTTCAGACAGAAAATGTGCCCAAATACCAAAAAGTGGGGAAGGGCGTTCCGTGGCCCTATCCTGTCCCAAGCGCTCGCCCGCCGCCCCCCCCCCCCCCCCGCCCGCTCGCACCCATGGCCACAAGGGGCCTAGAAGGCCCCAAAACTGGCTCAGAGGGCCCCCGAGAGGCTCCCAAGACGCTCCAGGAGGGCCCCGAGTCGTCCAAAGATCGCGCCAAGACGCCTAAGAAGATGGCCCCCAAGATGGCTCTAGAAGCCTCCAAGACGCGCCCCTGGGCCCCCAAGAGGCTCCCCGAGAGGGCCCAAGAGGGCCCCACGAGGCAACTTCGTCCCATTCCATTCGATTTTTAGCAAATTCGCTTCTTGAGTTTTCACAGCGTCCCAGACGGCCCAAGAAGCCCCCAAGATCGCCCCGAGACGGCCCAGGAGGCCCCGAAGAGCACTCCATGACGGCCCAAGAAGGCCCCAAGACAGCCAAGAGGCGCCCAAAACGACCCAAGAGGGCCGTCTTGACGGGCCCAAGAGAGGACCCAGAGGGTGGGAAAAACTAGTTTCGAGCCGCTCTAAGCACGAGCCTGCGCGCTAGCGCGGCCGCGGTGATGCTCCAGCCAGCGCCGAGCAGCCATCACAGTCGCCGCCGCAAGGGTTTTGCGAACCAAGTTGCGGGTGGGCGGGTGGGATGATTGTGCGAGCAGTGGAGTTGACAACTTCAAGTTCGGCAGAAAGAATTGCACCACCTGAATTGCACCACCTAGGTTGCATTAAACCGATTGCACAACATTTTGCTGGGGGGCACGATCCCTGTCAAATAACACCATGCGGGCCACTCGCGCACGTCGGCCGCGCGCGCATGTCGAAATCGTTCCAAAGTCTGGATCGCAGACACGTGGACATCCAGATTCCGAACGAGCTCAGAACAGAAGCTATTCATCACTTTCCCAAACGAATTCCAAAAGGCCTGGAACTTGGGCAAAGATCGCGGCGGTTCAGATGGATCGGAGGCCTCTACATGAACGACGGCGCTCACCAAGGGAAGATCACCCCCAGGTTTGGACATTCCTGGCGGTGATCCTTGGAACACCTGGCAAAACTAAGAGGAGGCAGACAGCCATGCACCGCCCAACTTCTGGTCAAACCGATGACGTGCGCGGAATCGGTGCATGCTGGTTACTGGCAAGGCCCAGGTGGCGCCTGCAGACCCAAATGACGCATCCGCCATCGCTCGGACGTCCATTCCCCGTGACTTGTTCGATGTCAGGCGTGTTTTGTGGCTCGTGATCCAGGATGCTCCTCTATGGCCCTCGCCGAGGAAAAAATGCACACGCCCGAGCGATGCCAGGCGCATGCACCGAGCATGGGCTGGGAGCTTGGGATCGGCGCATACGCGAGACGGGCCCGAGACGCCCGACCCCCAACAATCCCCTTGGGCCCCCGAACAGCTTCCAGAGATCCTCCAATCTGCATTCCGCAGAGATGGGAGCGAGGAGGGAGAAGGAGGAGGTCAAGGAGGAAGGAGGGAGAAAAGGGGAACGACACTGCGGACGAGGAATGTGCGGTGCAAGACTCGCGCCTGTCCAGATAGGGCCTGCACTGTAAATTCAACCCCATTCCTGCTGCGCAGCTGCGCTGGCACGGTTTCGGGGTTTGCTGGAGACAGCTGGATCATCATTATCGTCATCTCTTCCTTCTGGCCTCCATCCTCCTCCTCCTCCTCCTCGTCCGTCTGGCCTCCCGTCCTCCATTCCTTTTCCTTAAGAACAACTCGTCCCTGTCGCACGCGGAGGCCAGTCGGAAGGGCGAGCCAGGCGTTTCGCCTGAGACTTCCTTACCACTCATGAGCCTGAAGCTAAAAAACTGACAGCGGCTTCACAAATGGAAGGTAGGTGGTTTTCAAAATGTGGACTCTCGCATGAGCGCCGTACAAGATCGATATCAGCATGTGCAAGAGCTGCACGGATTGAGGGCGGGTGGTTATCACAAATGTGGTTTTCGCCTTAGCGCCGCGTGCAGGCGTTGTCGAGATTTGCAAGGGTTTCACGGATTAAGGGCGGGTGGTTTTCAACATGTGGCTCTCGCCTTAGCGCCGCGCACATTCGTTTTCCAAGTTTGCAAAAGTGTCACGGGTGAAGGGCGGGTCGTTTTCAAAATGTGGTTCTCGCCCTAGCGCCACGCACATTCTTTTAGAAATGTGCAGGAGTTCCACGGATTGGGGGCGGGTGGTTTTCAACATGTGGCTCTCGCCATAGCGCCGCGCATATTCGTCTTTAAAATCAACAACAACTTCACGGATTGAGGGCGACACGTGTTCAAAATGTGGCTTTCGTCGTTAGCGCCGTGTGCATTCGTTTTCAAACGTCAAATGCTGCAAAAGTTTCACGGATGGAGGGCGGGCTACTTTCAAAATGTGGCTCTCGCCCCAGCGCCACGCACAGCGCCACGCACGTTCGTTTTGAGCATTTGCAATAAAAACTTCACTGAACCTCATGGGTTAAGTACAAGAAAAGGTGTTGTTCAACGATTCGGGATTGGCAGGGCGCAACAGTTACGTTGATTCGCGGTGCTGAAATCCCAGGAATGGTAATGGTGTTCTGACACGATTCAGGACCGCCGAGACGCATCAGTCAGGTTATCTCGTGGCGTTGAAGTCCTGAGAATGGTGTTTTGGCACTTCCGGATTCTCACACGGTTGCCCCCCCTCCAGGGAATTCCCTCAGTGGCAATGAACCATTGTAGGGGCCTTTGGAGAGGGAGCTTGGAGGGAGGGTGTATTCCAACATTGCTGATGAGGCTTGGGTTTACTCTGGTCCTCCTCCTCCTCGCCCTTCCCGTCCCCCAGACCATGACCCATCCAGAAAGTCCTGGTCCTTCCTCTTGTTTCTGCCACTCTCCCTCCTCCTCCTCCTCCTCCTCCTCCTCCTCCTCCTCCTCCTTCTCCTCCTCCTCCTCCCCCTCCTCCTCCTCCTTAACCTCATCCTCATCCTCATCTCCCTCATCATCATCATCATCATCATCATCATCATCATCACCACCACCACCACCACCACCACCATCACCATCAGTATCACTATCACCATCACATCACCACCACCACCACCATTACAACCACCACCGCCACCACCACCACCACCATCACAACCACCATCACCATGACACCATCACCATTACCATCAGCAGCGTAATCATCACCACAGCCATACTCATCATGATAGGAATACTAATCATCATCGTCATCATCATCATCATCAGCAGCATCATCATCAGCATCAGCATCAGCATCAGCATCATCATCAGCATCAGCATCAGCATCAGCATCATCATCAGCATCAGCATCAGCATCATCATCATCATCATCATCATCATCACCAGCATCACCCTAATCCTCGTCATCACCATCACCATCATCATCACCATCATTATCGCCATCACCATCACACCATCACCGTCACCAGCATCAGCAGCAGCATGATCGTCAGCAGCATCAGCATCAGCATCAGCATCAGCATCCTCATCCTCATCCTCATCCTCATCCGCATCCTCCTCCTCCTCCTCCTCCGCATCCGCCTCCTCCTCCTCCTCATCCTCCTCCTCCTCCTCCTCATCATCATCATCATCATCATCATCATCATCATCATCATCAGCATCACCGCCGCCGTGAAAGAACATCACCACCACCCTCCTCTGGAGCCCCTGTAGGGATCGGCCGAGCGGCAGATCCCGAACAGACCGCTCCGGAGGGCCCGATGGCGGCGGCCTTGAGCCCCTGGTGAAGGCGCTGGCCGGCGAAGACGATCCCGCTGCCTTCGGGGCCGCCGCCGCGCGCGCGCTTCCCCGCCGGCGGCCTCTCCCGGGGGTCAGCGTCTGGAGGACCGAAATGGGTAAGTACGGAAAGAGTGGGTACGACGCCTGACAGGAGCTCCCGTCCATTCTGAGCAGGACCCGCTGCCAGCGTCGCCGAGGACGTGGCCCTCTTGAGACACAAAGGCGGCTGCCAAACAGCGGCCTCGGTCGGTTTTGAAAACCATTGCAGGCGTGCCGACAAGGGAAAGGAGCAAGGGGTTGTACAAGAAAATAATGTCGGAAAGGAACGGGGGGGCGGAGAAAGGGAGGAGGGGGAGACGGAAGGGGGAAAAGGCGAAGGGGAAAGAGGCAGTGGGCCTGCGCGCGCCCGCCTGTGCCCTGCACGCCAGCAAATGCACCCACAGATAATCATACCCACATTCGTAATGGGTCCGTCATCGCCGCCAACAAAATCGTCAGAGTCACTGCGAATGCAATCGCCATCATCACCCTCGTCGCTCGCCATCGCAAATACCGTCGCATCAAGTGCACCGAAGATCTCGTCAGCGATGCGAACATGTGCATCGCGACTGCATCGTTCGTCGACTGGACTCCGTGCCCACGGCTCAACTCTCCCTGGGCGCCACTCTCACAAATCTGGCCGTATCCCTTACCCTCAGGCAGGTGGGGATATGTGCCGACGCGGAGATCCCCACATGTGCACATGTGTTCCAGCGTTCTCGCCCATCAGCGCCTGAGCACAAGCGGGTCTGAGTGTGAGCGAGTCTGAATAAGAGTGGCTGGGTGCTTCTGCTCCTCGGCGGGACTGAGTCTGAGGACAGCTGGGAACGAGCGCCTCTCAGCAAAAGCCAACCTGAACATGAGAGGGCATGAATATGAATGAGTCTGGGTGCGAGCCTGACTGTGAGCGGATGCGAGTACGAATGGAAAAATAGGGCGTCCCAGTGCGAGAACGTTTGGCGGATCTCCTCGTTTGGGAAACTGAAGTCCCATGCGTCTACACCCTGGAGCGTCGACTGCGCCTGAGAGACCCCGCCAATCTCGAGACGAACCGACCCGACTCATAATCCCCTGGCGGCTGCCCCTTGGGATGCCCAAGCGCGTGATATCCATGGGGTTCTGAAATTAAACACGTCTACCCCGCCCCACCCCACCCCCCAAAAAAACGCAGTTTTGTTTGAGAGGTCCCAACGATCTAGGCGCGAACGGGCTCACATAGTACCCCCGATTGCGAATATTGGGAGGCCAAAACCCCATGCCTGCGACATCGCGATGACCATGGGGCTCTGAAGACAGAGGGAGGGGAAGAAAATAATATGATGTTATTTGTTTAAAAACAACAAAAATGTTGACACGCCCAACCTGGAAACGAACAAATCCGTGTCATACCCACCCCCATGGCGGCTGCGCCTTGCGAAGCCCAAGCGATGTACCTGCAGCATCGTGATGATCATTGGCGCTTGGAGTTCTGAAATGAGACGCGTCGACCGTCGCACAAAAACAATGTGTTGCTTCTGACACGCCACGGCGATCTGAGCTTGAACGCGCCATACCCCTTGGCGCCCTGCCAATCCACCCCTCGGGAAGCCGAAGCCCACATGAGACTCTGGGAAGACACGCCCCTGTACTCCGAAGCAGCACGCATGCCTGAGAGGCCCCGCCAATCCCGACGTGAACGGACCCGTGTCATACCCACTGGCAACTGCCCCTGCGGATGTACAAGTACCATGCCTGCTAGATCGCGACGACCATGAAAATATGATAAGAGACGCGTCTACCCCTCAACCCAAAAAACGCAAGTTTTGCTCGAGAGGCCTCTGAACGCGATCGGGCCCGTGGCATACTTCCTGGTGGATCCCCCCTTGGACGCCCAAAATGTCATGCCTGCAACATGGCAATGACCACGTGACAATTCTCAATGAACAAAACAACAAAAACATCAAAATAACAAAAAACGATTACGCGCCGAAGCGGCAATTTTGCCTGAGAGGCCAGCCCGCCAAGCTGGAAACGAATGGCCCCGTGCCACGCGCACCCCCAAGGCGACTGCCCCTTACAAACCCAAGCACCCCACCTGCAACATCGCGATGATCATCGGGGTTATAAAATGAAGCGCGCCGGCTCCTCCAGAAAACCGCCGTTTGCCAAAAAGCCCCCCCTGAGCCCCGGCGATCGTGGAATTCTCTCGCCGCGCGCCGGCACATGTCATCGCGTCACGCCCCCGGAAACTACGGGGCCCCATAACGGGCCAAGGGGGCCCAGAGAGGCCCCCAGGATTGCCCGAGAGGGCCCCGAGACGGCCCAAGAGCGCTCCGAGACGCCCAGAAATCCTTGAAGACAACCCAAGAGACACGCCCGAAAAGGGATCCAAGCGGCCTCCTAACAGGGCCCCGAGAGGCACGAGCGATCGCTTCCCCTTCGGATTTCGAGCGATTCTGGCGCTCGCGCAGTCCGTGCCTTCCGACGCTCCAAGATGGCCTAGGGAGGACCCCCCCGATCACCCACGGATGGTCGATCGGCGCAGCTGGCGGCGCCTCTATCGGCGAGAAATTCGGGCGCGCCGCGAAGGCTGGAAAAAATGGCGCGCGGCTCGGGTCATCGGCGGATGGACGGGCGTCGCGCTACCACTCCCACTGCGGACGCCGAGCGATGCGACCCGCGACGTCGACACCCTGCACCCGCATCTCAGCCAGGGCAGCGTGGCGCTGTCGCTGCATGAACCGCTGCTGCTCCTGAACTGACTGCCTGCGGCCAGGCGGCGGATGCATTGCTGGCCCTGCTGGCGCTCCTGCAGGGCTGCCAGCGGCGTGGCCCCCCTGACGCGGAGTGCCAAACAGCGCCGTAACTCTCAGACCACTGCCAGTTCAGGCTGTTGGCGCTGCGCCGATTGCCTCTGTCGGAGGTCATCGTCACGCATGCCCCGCGTCGCTGGGGGCGCCCCGTTGGACGTCGCCGACCCCGATGCCCTCGCATCGAAACGTCCTTGTCCAAGCGGTAGCGCTTCGAAGCGCGTCGATCCCGCCTGCGGCGGTGGGCGCCGTGGCCTCCTCCAAACAGGTGGCCCGCAGGTGCTGACTCAGGCTGCGCAAGTAACGAGCCACGCATGATTGAATGCGCGCCAGCAGCGACAGCCCGCGGGTCGCGACGCATCAAGACGCCCGTCACGGAGGCCTCCGCGGTGGTCGGCACCATCCAGGTCGACATGGGCCCGCGGTCGGATCGCCCGCCCCTCAGTTCGAGGCCCCGCGCGCTGCGTCGGCACATCTGCACGCGCCCCCGCATTCACCATCAGGCACGCGCACACCTCTGCGCCCAGGTTGCCCTCAGGCGCACATACCTCGGAAGTGCACTGGATCCAAAACAGGAACCAATGTTTGCACAGGGGGCCCTCGGGCAGACGCAGGCGCTCGGACCCCCGCGGGCCGAAATAATGCGGATTGCGCCACGCATCCCCGACGCGATGCCTCTTCGTGCCAGCGAGTTGAAAAAAAGTACCTCCAGGGAATGGCGCCACCCAAGCAATTCGCAAGCACGATATCGTTGGCCGAGCGCCAGATCCTGGCGCCGTCCCGAATGAGCACCAGCATGGACACAATAATGATGACTTCGGCATCGCGACGGAGACCCGACTAGTTTCGCGAGCCCTTTGGGCGGCCAGGGCATCCACGGATTAGCTGCCTCTCAATCAGGCCCTCTGGGATGCGTTTCCCCGAACATGATAGGCCCCGGCGACAAGTGCTTCCGAGGCAGTCCCAACGTGCACCGTGGGTGAAAAACTCAGGGGGCCCTGCTGAGCCTGCGTCACGCACGTGTGAATACATGGATCCTGGACACAGGATGCCTGGTCGCGAAAGGCCATTGGTCGCAAGCGCGCTTAAGACCGAGTCGCGGCCCCCACGGGAACGCTTGAATTGGAGACGCCCCTTGCGCGCCCCAGCGCGGGCGCCCCTCGTAGCCACGCACATCGCGAGGGCGAGAGCGATGCTCGCCCCCCGTTTGCCACGCAATCACTCGCGCACCACGTCCGCATGCTTGCCCCACGCGGCGGTGCTCAAGGCATCTGCAACATAAACCCAGCCGCCACATGCGCCCCACGTCTGGCACGCGCCATGAGAAAAACTAGATACGTCGTCGCAGCGGTAGGGGCGACATCAGCAAGTAGAAGACTACCCTTGCAATATCCGAATCATGGTCGCCTGATTTGGGACTCTGGCGGCAGTGGCACCAGCACCCCAACACTCCGCGCGCCAATATCCTTCTTCGTCTGCAATCCGCGAAGGTGGCTTGCCACGTTAATTGTTGCAGAAGTCCCGTTTGCGTCGTCTGCCGCTGCGCGGCCAGGGGCGGTGCGGATTCTGCCATGGGCGCACAGCGGGCGCCTATCCTCGTCGTCTGGAGCATCGTCGCCCGGCGGGGGGGGGGGCGCGCCCGCCCTCGCGGGCGGCGCCGGCTTGCCCTTGGCCGGTTCAGCTAGGCCAGCGGTCTGGCGGGCGTCCGCGGTGCCCGAGCCCCTCCGACGACTAAAATCGCGCGCGTCCGCGCCTGCGCAGGGCGGGTCGTCGGAGCCGTCGACCTCCCACTCCGAAAATAAGAGCGGGTGGCACTCGTTGGTCACGCGGAGGCCCTTCGTAGGATCCTGCTCGGCGTCGCCCTCCAAGTCCTTCAGCTTGCCCATCGCCGACCGGTCGAAGAGGCGCCCACGGCGACGCGCGCGAGAAGGACAGCCCCTCGGGCTCCGCCTTCGGCGCGCCCCTGAGGATTGCACGCCGGCGGCTACTCCGCAGGCGGCTTCGATGGATATCCCCCATGTCGAGTCGCGCTCAGGCCGGCGGCGACATTGAACGAAGTCATCAGACACTTGATCGGCAAGGTTCTGGGCAGGGGCGCGGCCTCTGCCTAGTTATGCCTTCGCAATCCTCGACGCCCACACGCCGCAGCTTCGGGGCCCAACCATCACATCGATACACGCGCGCCCGTCGGGGCGCGCCAAGTCGCGCGGC